ATAACAATCCTTGTCAAAATCTTGTAAAAATCAGAAGAGGGAAAAACCCTTCTGAAGTCATTTTACAAGGCTAGTATTACTCTAATAACAAAGCCTCATGGGCAAGGATATTATAAGAAGAGAAATAATAGACCAATACCCCTGATGAACATAGATACAAAAATCCTCAACAAAATATTAGAAAATTAATTAAAGAGTACATTAAGAGGGGGATGCCTGGGTGGCTCAGTTGGTTGAGCACCCAACTCTTGATTTCAGCTCAGGTCATGATCTCAGGATTGTGAGATCGAATTGGGGCTCGATCAGCAGGGAGCCTTCTTAAGATTCTCTCTCTGCCACTCCCCTCTTGTGCTCTCTCTCTCCAAAAACAAAAATACATTAAAATGATCATACATCATGATGAAGTGACAATTATTCCAGTGATGCAGGGATGGTTCACCCTCCACAAATCAATCACTATGATATACCACATTAACAAAATAAAGTACAAAAATCATGATAATCTTAGTAGGTACAGAAAAATCATTTGACAAAATTCAACATCATTTTATTATAACAACATATTTGTATAGAAGGATTGTACCTCAACATTATAAAAGTCATATATGACAAGCCCACAGCTAACATCATACTTAATGGTGGTAGCTCAAAATTTTTCCTCCAAGACCAAGAACAAGACAAGGATGCATTCTCTTATTACTTCTATTCAAAATAAAAGGCATCCAAATAAGAAAGAAGTAAAATTGTCTGTTGTAGATGATACAATCTTACATGTGGGAAACACATGTGGGAAACCACAAAAATGTTAGAGCTAGTAAACAAATTCAGTAAAGTTTCAGTACACAATTTCAATATACAAAAATTAGTTGCATTTCTATACACTAATGTATAGTGTATAGAATGAACTATTGGAAAGAGAAATTAATAACCCCTTTAATAATAACATCATAAAGAATAAAATACTTAGAAATGAATTTATCCAAGGAAGTGGAAGATATATATATTGAAAACTATAAGAAATTGATAAAATAAATTGATGAATACACAATAAATATAAAGATATTCTCTGCTGATGGATTGGAAGAATTAATATTGTTAAAATATCTGTACTACCCAAAGCTATCTACAGATTCAATGCAATCCCTATCAAAATTCCAATGTCATTTTTTACAGAAATAGAAAAAAAATTTAAATTATATGAAACCCCAAAAGACCTCAAAGAGCCAGAGCAATATTGAGAACGAAAAACAAGGCATCACACTTCCTGATTTCAAAGTGTATCAAAAAACTATAGTTATAAAAAAAAAACTATAGTAATTAAAAGAGTATGATATTGGCATAAAGACTGACACATATTAATGGAACAGAATACACAGCCTAAAAATAAATACGTGCACACACAATTGATTAATTTTCAACAAAGGGACCAAGATTATACAATGGAGAAATGATAGTCTGTTCAATAAATCATGTTAGGAAAATTAGATTGTATCTCACACCATACACAAATATCAACTAAAGTGAAAAAAAGACTTGAATTTAAGATATGAATCTATAAAACTCCTAGAGGAAAATACCCATAATAATTTCCTTAACAGTGGTCTTGGCAATGAATTTTTACTGTCACTGAAAGCAAAGGCAGCAAAAGAAAAATTACACAAGTAGGAGTACAACAAACTAAAAGCTTCACCTTAGCAAATGAAATCATCCACAAAATGAAAATGCAAACTATGGAATGGAAGAAAATCTTTGCAAACCAATCTGATAAGGAGTAATTAAAATATGCAAGAAATCTTCCAACTCAATAGCAAGGAAATAATTTTTTAATGGACAAAGGACTGGAACAAACATTTTTCCAAGGATATGTGAATGGCCAACAAGTACATGAGAAGGTATTCAGCATCATTAAATCATCAAGGAAATGCATATCAAAACTACAATAAGATATCAAATCATATCTGTTAGTATGACTATCATAAAAAGACATTGGATAAAACCAGCAAAGATGTGGAGAAAAGGGAACCCTCATATAGTGTTTATGGGAATTTAAACTGGTACAGCCATTATGAAAAATAATTTGGAGTTTCCTCAGTAAATTAAAAAATAGAACCACCTTATGATCTAGCAATCTCACTTCTAACTATATAACCAAAATAAATGAAATCAGTTATTTTGAGGAGATTTAATTACAGCATTATTCATAATAGCCAAGGTATGGAAAAAATCTACATGTCCAGCAACAGACAAATGGATCAGAAAAGAGCTATGTATACAATGAAATATTGTTCAGCTTTAAAAAGAAGGAAATCTTGTCATTTTTGACAACATGGTTGAACCTGGACATCTGTACGCTAAGTGAAAGGAGCTAAAGACAAACACTAAATAGTATCACCTATATGTGTAATAAAAAAAGTTAAACTCATATTAACAGAGAGTAGAAAAATAGTTGCCAGTGAGAAATAGAGATAAGTTAGTAAAAGGATACCAGTTTTCAGTTTTAAGATGAATAAAGTCCAAGGATCTGATGTATAATATGGTGACTATAATTGATAACATTGTATTATATAATTGAAATTTGGTAAGAGAGTAGAATTTAAATGTTCTCACACACAAAAAGGATAAATAAATGAAGTGATAAATGTGTTAATTAAGTTAATGGGGAGAATCCTTTCACAATATATACATATATGAAATCATCACTTTCTACACTTTAAATGTCTTACAAGTTTGTCAATTTTAGCCCAATAAAGTTGGAAAAGTATAGTAACAAATACATTCTGGAGATCTACACAACATAGTTACTACAATTAAAAATATGGTATTGAATACTTAAAATTCGCTAAGTGGTAGTAGTTATATTAAGTGTTCTTGCCAGAAAATATTTTAAAATAATATAATAATAAATAAAATTATTATTGTTGTTGTTGTTATTCAAAGGCAGGAGGAAACTTTGAGAAGTGGTGGATATGTTTATGTCCTTGATGATGAGTGTGTGTTTATCCCCAAATTCATCACATTGTTTACATTAAATATGTATAGCTTTGTAGATGTTAATTATAACTTAAAGTGGCTTAAAAAGTAGTTATAGATCCAAATTCAAGAACTAAGGGAATGGGGAGAGAATATAAAAACATTCAGGGTCAAGTGATCCAGGGAGAAGCAGGATTTTCCTTAACCTCCAAAGACATGGTAAGGAAAAATTGCAAAATTCTTTGGTAAGCACTACACTCAGCATGCTTATAAAAAAATAAAAAAAAAAAAACCTTGGTTCATTTATGAAGATTATAAATAGCTGAAGAAATTATCTAGTTGGGTGGGACTAAGATAGTATCCACCACTTTGCATCCAAATGAGTTTACTATAAATTAAGTATGACATGTAGAGGATGCAGAATTTCCCGCATGCCCCAATGCAAGACTAACAGATTGAAAGAGAATGTCTGAAATCACAAAATAGTGATGAGGGGAGATCTGGTAAGAAGACCCATATAAACTCCAAAAGACAAGATTTAATCAGTCATGCCTTGTTAGATACAGAGAACCAGTGATCAGGCAGACTGAGTTACACCACAGTGGATGCCAACAGAAATAAGATAAACCAGCCATGCTTAATCTCTCTCCCTGATGAACAGAAGGCATGTCAACTAGCCTTGGTCTAAGATTGTTTGTGAAAGTATGGACAGAAAAGGTAGGAGAAACTCTAGCAAGCACGACTTATCCAGATTTCATCTGAGATAATCATGGTGCATATATTTTCCTAAAATAAAATCTCTAACACAGTTCATCTGCTTAAGCAGACTGATTCCTTTCCAGAAAAGAAAAGCCTGTTAGTTCCAAGAATTCAACCATAAATACAAATTCCAAGAGAAAGGACTTTGGAGGAAGTGTTTGTAATCAATAGCCAGACTAGAAACAGACCTACTATGCAAAGCTGGTTTAAGATATATGCCATGGAAAGAGAGTGGAGCCACAACCAAAAGAAGTATCTAGATCTAAGATAGACAACTTATGCTGGGAAGGAGAAAAGCTTGAAAATAGATTTAGATTTTGGCTCCCAATTTCACTTGAATCTTTCCTCATTGTACCATTAACCTAATTTCTGTGATGTTAAAAGAACCCAAAATGGTCTTTTAGGACAAATGGATAAAATTTTCTAAGAGAAGACTTTTGAAGAAATAATAATGACATACTTGACAAGCACATATCAATAGTTAAGAATCGTTGTTTCCATTGAAAATGAGAATTGATAGATTTGAGTGACTCCAAGAGCAAGAAATGACATAGATTACTTTCCAGGGCATAGTCTAGGAATATTGTAAGCCTTAGAGAAGCCAATATTCTATCCAGTGATAGATTATGAATGGCTACATAAACTGTTTGGGGATAATGTTTTGTATGCTTGTGGCATAAAGGAGATCTCAAAGTTCCTTAATTCTCAAGAGAGAAGTGCAAAACTACTGGAAGTATCAGCATGTTGGAAAAATCTTGGGATCAAAATGAAGAGTCTGTATACTACAGAGATGTACTGATTAAAGTTCATGGTAAGGACAATGGACATTAACAGAAGGGGCTCAAATGATACATTGAGTTAATAAATGCAACTAGCTACTCTCAGGAAATGTTGGGTAACAAATGACCAGACTGGCCAAGCTATATCAAAGTGGAGGCAGGTGATGAATTTTCCCAGAGAATGTGGTAAACTATGATGAATGCTCTAGGTCAACTGGAGGCTAGACAAAAAGTTAAGTTCTGAAATAGAAAATGAAGTTATGACTGCAAATTTGAGTTTAGTGTACAGTATTCAATTCAGTTACAGTGCTAATCGATTGGATTATATTCAGTTGTTTTGCACCATAGGATAATGTTATCTTGGCATTTTTTTTTCTGCCAAAAGTTTTATCCCATCTATTAAAATGTAAGTATTATAAGTAATATGATACTTATTTGGAAGTTGGTAACATTAAAAGACAAAATGATAAGGAATTTTGTTTTTCATTTCAGGGATGTTCTCTGTGGAAAATTAGCTTGTGTTTGGCCACAGAAGAATACTTATAAAAATGATATTCAATCTGCAGTTTATTCATATATTCAAGGGCATGTATGCATATCTATAACTACTGGGTCATCAGTGAGATCAGATGGAAGAGATTATGCCTATGTGGCTGATGGCACTGTTTGTGGTACACAAATGGTAACAAAACATGTTCATTTATATTTAGCTGTGTTAAATTATGTAATTATCAAATACTATATTCCATGATGACTATCACAGTTATACTGAATGGATTTGAACCTGGTGCTGCCAATTATTTCCCATACAATATTGAAAAGATAATTAAACTAGGCCTCAGTTATTCAATAACTTTGCTTTTTGGATGTTATAACCAGTCATCAATCCTCATATGAGAAGATATGTATGTCTTTTAAGCACAACATTCCACTAAAATGAGAGGTGATTTTTTTATTAGATCTTTGAATTCTAACAAATTTTAATCATAGAATTCTGAGCTTTCAGGTTTTCCTGCTTCACAAAGAAACATAACTCAGCTTTTATATTTCTTAAACCATCGGTTTACATTTATAATCAAAGTATAATTGTGAGAGGTTTAGAAGAACCAAACAAGAAGTCTATACCAGGAAAGCATGGTTACAGTGATACACAAGCTTATGTCCATATGCATATATACATACATATGAGCATTTGCACTTATATGGTCATAAAATAAAGGGAGAACAAAGATGGTTCAGAGGCTGTTAGTCAGTTTGGAAGTATAAGTGCACACATTCCAGAAACTATAAGGCATCTGAAATTTAAAGTAGCAATTGTAAATCAGTGTGCTACATATAAATGACATTCAAACTTACTTGTTGAATTAAAAATAAAACAAAACCTTGAAATGGTGAATTAATTAGCCAATTTTTAAATGTTATACTGTATGTTCATTTATTTTTATTGAGGTATGTTTGACATAAATATTAGTTTCAGATGTACAACATAATAATTTGATGTACACATTGTGAGATGATCACCACAGTAAGTCTACAGTCCATCACCTACAATATATTATTGACTATATTCCTCATGCTGTGCATTATATCCTCATGACTTATTTTACACCTCTATGCTTGTACTTTTTAATCCCCTTCATCTCTGTTGCCCTACCCAAACCCTTCCCCTCTGACAACGACCAATCTGTTCTCTGTGACTGTAAGTCTGTGTTTTATTTTGATTGTTTTGATTTTTAGATTCCACATATAGGTGAAATCATATGGTATTTGTTTTTCTCTCTCTGACTTATTTCACTTGCATAATACCCTTAAGTTTCATCCACATTTTCACAAATATCAAGATTTCATTATTTTTGTGGTTAAGTAGTAATGTATTGTATATATATACCACATCTTCTTTATCCATTCATTTATGGTGAACATTGGGTTGTTTCCAAATCTTGGCTAATGCTGCAATCAACAGAGGGGTACACGTACCTTTTTGAATTACTATTTTTATTTTCTTCAGATAGATATCCAGTAGTGGAATTACTAGATCATATGGTAGCTCTATCTTTAATATTTTGAGGAAACTCCATACTATTTTTCATAGGGGTTGCACCAATTTACATTCCTACCAATAGTGCACAAGATGTTCCTTTTCTCCATATCCTCACCAACACTTGTTATTTCTTGTCTTTTTGATTCTAGCCATCCTGATATCTGTAAGGTGATACCTCATTGTAGTCTTGATTAGTATTACCCTGATGAGTAATGATGTTGAGCATCTTTTCATGTGCCTGTTGGCCATCTCTATACCTTTTTTGGAAAAATGTATTCAGATCTGTTTTCTATTTTTTAATCAGGATTTTTTCTGTTATTGAGTTATATGAATTCTTTCTTTATATATTTTGGATCTGAGCCCCTTAATGAACATATGATTTGGAAATATCTTTTTTCAGTAGGTTGCCTTTTTATTTTGCAGATGGTTTCCTTCACTGTGCAAAAGCTTTTTAGTTTGATGTAGTCCAATTTGTTTATTTTTGCTTTTATTTCTCTTGCCTTTGATGTCAGATTCAAAGAAAAATCTTTAAGACTGTGTCAAGGAGCTTACCACCTATGTTTCCTTCTAGGAATTTTATGGTTTCAGATATTACATTCAAGTCTTTAATATATTTTGAGTTAAACTTTGTACATTTTAAGATGGTGGTCCAGTTTTATTCTTTTAAATGTAGCTGTTAGTTTTCCCAACACCATATTTTGAAGACATTGTACTTTCCTAATGTATATTTTTGTCTCCTTCATTGTAAATTAATTGACCATATATGCATAGAGTCCCTATTCTGTTCCATTGCTTTATATGCCTCTTTTGATTTCTGCACCACAATGTTTTATTTCCTATAGCTCTGTGGTCTAGTTTGAACATAGAAAATGTGGTATCTCCAGCCTTGTTATTCTTTTTGAGGATTGTTTTGTCAGTTCACTGTCTTCTGTGATTCCATACAGATTTTAAAATTATTTTTGTTTTCATTTTGGTGATGAATGCCTTTGGAGATTTGATAGGGATTTCATTTAATCTGCAGGTTGCTTTGTGTAGTATTGATATTTTGACAATATTTATTCTTCCACTGCATGAGCACAGAATATCTTTCCATTTATTTGTGTCTTCTTCAATTTCATTCATCAATGTCCTATAGTTTTTTTTATTATGTTATGTTAATCACCATACATTACATCATTATATTTGATGTAGTGTTCCATGATTCATTATTTGCGTATAAAACCCAGTGCTCCATTCAGTACATGCTCTCTTTAATACCCATCACCAGGCTAACCCATCCCCTCATCCCCCTCTCCTCTAGAACCCTCAGTTTGTTGCTCAGAGTCCATAGTCTTTCATGGTTCGTCTCCCCCTCCAATCCCCCCCCTTCATTTTACCCTTACTATTATCTTCTGTTTTTTTAACATATAAAGTATTAATTGTTTCAGAGGTACAGGTCGGTGATTCAACAGTCTTACACAATTCATAGCGCTCACCATTAGCACATGCCCTCCCCAATGTCTATCACCCAGCCACCCCATCCCTCCCACCCCCCACCACTCCAG